GAGAGGCACACCCATGAGTAAGGTTGCTGTTGAACAAGCTGTGACAATGAACATGGGAAGAAAGGATGAGGATGACCAAAATGATGCCTGAGATGGGCCCTGCAGAAAAAGAGGCTATTTGATGAGACCCTCTTCAATCTGCATTGTTTGGCTTTTAGGTAATATACTGTTTATCTTCTTCTAAGTGGTCCTCTATCTGTGCTATGAGCCAAATGATCACAGCTCTTGTAGAAAGAAAAGGGCTGTCACTATGCAATCTTGTTAGGAGCTTCAAGAAGCTGACAATAGATGGTGGAGCCAATCGTTGCAGAGAAACATTTTCAGAGAAGATGAAAATAGGGTCCAATAATGTGGACCAGTGACTGCTGCTTATTTTCTTTTTTGTTCTTGTTTGTTTTTATTTGTCTCTTTGTTTTAATTTTTATTTATGTTCAATGAGCTAGCACAGTTTCATTCATTGGGTGCATGTTTTGCTTATCAATTTAAAGAAGATCACTTAGTCCAACTTAATGAAACCTATATCCTTTAAGTACTTATAAAAACACAAGCAGCTGATATCAAGACAGTATATCCAGAGAAGGCCATGCTGGTTTGAGCAGATGTAACAAGAGTGAGAACCCTGGCTGAATTTTCGTGGGTGGTTCCAGTAAAGCTGTTGGTGACCCATCTTGCTTTCAGAGTGCTGTTTATTATCTTTTCCCTTTCTAAAATAAGTGTGTTCACTGCATTTTCCTATATCTGTTTCAGTCTAATATTTTGATTTGTATAGGGCAGATAATGTATTCTTTTAGTGCATACGTTGAGATAAAGTGCACCTGATAATTTGTAGTCACCTCATGGACAGCAGATCCTAATCGGATGATAAGATGCTGAACTTCAGTCTGAGCCTGTTTCTGTAGTTCTGTTGTGTTCAGTGGTTCCTTACAGGATTAGTGGTTTTGGAATGTGGGAAACATGTAAGCCATTGAGGACTGGGTGATAATAGTTGCCAAGGATGCTCCCTCATGACCACATGTCAAAACAACCACAGCTTGTGGAATCACTTACCTTTGATGTGGGCTGTCTGTATAGCTCACTGTGTTCAATACAATGTCACAGTACTGACACCGTCTGCCTTTGTAAGCTAGGTCCTATGATGCCTTGTACCTTCTTCCTGAGCTTTTGGAAGGCTTTCTTTAGTGGAAGCCAATCATCATTCATTCAGTCCAAGAACCACGAGACTCTCATGATTTGAGGGAATTCAAGGCATGGATTGGGAGGTGAGGTAGGAAAGGAAATAACCAGTCAGCCCCCAGGTGTTCACCAGCCCCAGTGTTGAGTCAGACATGAGTGGAGCATCCTCTGGAATTCCAGCCTAAAAGATTCTTCAGAAAACGAGACTCTCACCACATAATCTACCACCCACATGAGTCCAGTTAACTGAGAAAGATCAGAATAAATGATTGTTCTAAGTCAATATGTGTTGGGAGGTTTGCTGCGCTGCAACGCCTAGTGAAACAGCAGCAAAGCAAGGTCTGCTCACTGTGTCCATGTGTATGAATTGTGCCCATCCAAACAATAAACTACATATTTTCTGGTCTAAACCCATGACTATTTGTTTCCAAATAGAAATTCCAGGATTCTACCACAAACATCAGAAAAATCTCGCAGTTATTTTTAAATATCAACAATTAGAGTTCTTTAAGAGAAATCTTTGGACTCCTATGATTACCTAATGACTGCTTGAATTAAAATTTTCACACCAGACATGTGTCTTTTTCTAAAGTTCCTGCATGGAAGTCTGTATAGAGCCAAGCACCATGTTTATATACAACAAATATCCTGAGAACAATGGAAAGAATTAGGAAATTCCCCCAGATTGTCCTCAAGTTACAAAATTTCTCCCTAAAGCCACGAGGTACACCTGTGTGGCTGTAAACAGCTACCTAACATTTCAATGCAGTGAGTCATCTGAGATTGGGTAAGGATTTTGTTTCAGAGTCACTGACGTCAACGACGTGCCATAGAAGGATGCTGTACCTAATGACTCCTAAGACATTCTAGGCACATTGTCACTCACTCCTGGAGTCACAAGAAGATTTCTCCTCTTTGATTTCTGGATGCCTCCCATAGAACTCCTCAGGTCCTCTTGGGGATGACCACTTTCTCTTTCCCCCTTAAAGCAAGAACCAAAGAAATCCTGGGTAGTTTGGTGATGTTTTAGTAACCAAGGGTAGGGGAAAGCGTGAGGAGAGGTCATGCTGTTAGCAGGCTCTGGAGATCCTATGGTCACATAGAAAAGGGATTCCTCAACAATGGAGAGTGTGGTCATCTCCCTTAATTGAAGACAGACATTGAGGTCAGGGAGACATCTCTCCACACTTGCACTGTCTTCACAGAACGTGGTGGAAGTTGATGGACAAAGCTGTAACAGTGTTGGCTATTTCTTATTACCTACAGGAAGAAAAATGCATCAGAAAGACAGTATGCCTTCAAACAGGCTTTCACCCTCTTCTCTACTCTGTCCTAGTACTTACAACATACCGTGAGAAAACTCCTTGTTATATAATTGAACCCAAGACACACACTTCTGTTTACAGATTAACTTTCTTGCCTATTTTAGACAGTTGCTCACTTTATTTCTAATTTTTCTCTTATTCTTCAAGAAATGCTTTACCGCTCTGTGACACATGGTCTATGTTTGCTCAGCCTCCCCTCTATCCTGGAGAATCCCCATGGCTACTGACTGTGTTTCACCAACTTGAATCCCTGCATCTTGTACAGGGGTTCACACAGGGTTAACGCTAGACCATGTTCATTGAATGTATATCTTTCAGTTCCACGAACTACAACCGCCATTCACTGCTGATGGCCCAGTATCTCTTTGGAGTTGCCTAGATCAGGGCTGATGGTGGCCAAGAATAAAACTCAAGTGCTGTTGGAGAGGTAGAATCGGACAAGTGTTGCAAAACATAGAATATCATTTTGAACAGCTTCTAAGAATAGGTAAAGATCCCTCACTTGAATCTGAATAAAATGTGAATCTTTTCGCCTACCGATTAGAAAGAGCCAGAACATTTGGACATATTCTCTATTACTAAGGTTGTAAAGTAACTTTATAGGTGCTAATTCGTTAAATTTAAAATGCACGTATTTCATTTCTTTGTGATATCTTTCAATATAAGTGAGGTGAATAATGACAAGAGAATTGACTAGAAGTCTTAATACAGCACCATTTGCAAGAGAAAAATATTGGAAATAACCTCAATGCCCATCAAAAAAGTCAAGGTCCACAATTTTTGGTAATCCTTCTAATGCAACATTATGCAACCTTTGAAAACTGAGGCAGCACCATCAATAGATGATGTCTTCAAGATGTATTCTTTCACAACAAATCAACTCAGTTCCTAAAGTGTAAGGTGAAGAGCAACATATACCAGGATTTGTTTAGAAACAAATAAATTAATAAATCTATATGTTTCCATAAGCAGAGATTTCCTGTGGAAGGAGAATAAAACACTGGTAATATTCTCAGCAGTAAGATTGGGTCCAGGAGTAAGACAAAGACTTATTTTTTCATTGACTAAAACAATTTTATTCTTATGAATGTTGTGTCAGTCCACTACCTGAAAACTTAAATAACAGCACAAATAGAAAGGAGAACAACGGAAAAGACAGAGGAGATTCTCCTTCTTGGGAAAAATGCCAGGTGAGCTGATATTGACTCTGGTCAGATTTGGGAAAAGAGCTGAGGATGGCAGTGCAAGCAGAGGGTGCTCCGTGATGAAAAGCCCAGGGCAGGAGTAGTTATGGCAGATAGGTCCTGAAGGACTATTGGGGCCAGTTCAGAGAGAGCTGCCTGCTGCTCTGAGAGCCCATGGAGGCCTTGTACCGGGAGCTCCTAGGATGCTGACCTGGTACTCATTGTCCAGCACCAAGATGCTCAGATTATGTTTTGCCATCCTCAAAGGGCATACTGTGGCATCTCTTCTCACACTTCCAGGTCCCACACACATAGCTGTTTATGATCAAACAATGGTGAAAGTGTACTCAGAAATGGAAGCCGATGTCTGAGTCCTCATTTGTCCCTGTGTAGAAATCCATCTGCAGCTCTGGGCAAAGCACACAGAGTGTTAGGCAAGCCCCTTCTTTGTGGGGAACACACTTAACACAAACACAAATCCCTTCCCCCGTTTCAGGGAAGAAAGCAGTTTCCATGGTGATACTGCAGGCCTGGTCCCTGTGGGGCTATTTAGCTCCTCGTTCCCCCAGGTGAGGACACACTCTGCCCCTTATCACAAGATCAAAAGTGAGCCACTCTAATTTACCTGGGCCTATGACTTGTCCATTCCTTAAAAATTCTATCCCCATTGGATCTAATTAAACTAAAGAGCTTCTTCACAGCAAAAGAAACTATCATCAGAGTGAACAGGCAACCTACAGAATGGGAGAAAAATTTTGCAATCTCTCCATCTGTTAAAGGGCTAATATCCAGAATCTACAGAGAACTTAACCAAATTTACAAGGAAAAAAAAACAACCCCATCAAAAAGTGAGCAAAGGTTATGAACAGACACTTCTCAAAAGAAGATATTTATGCAGCCAACAGACATAAGAAAAAATGCTTATCATCACTGGTCATTAGAGAAATGCAAATCAAACCACAATCAGATATCATCTCATGCTGTTTAGAATGGCAATCATTAAAAAGTCAGGAAACAACAGATGCTGAAGAGGTTGTGGAAAAATAATAATGCTTTTACACTGTTGTTGGGAGTGTAAATTAGTTCAACCATTGTGGGAGACAGTGTGGCAATTCCTCAAGGATCTAGAACTAGGAATACCATTTGACCCAGCAATCCCATTACTGGGTATATACCCAAAGGATTATAAATCATTCTACTATAAAGACACATGCACATGTATGATTATTGTAGCACTGTTCACAATAGCAAAGTCTTGGAACCACCGCCAATGTCCATCAATGATAGACTGGATTAAGAAAATGTGCCACATACTCACCATGGAATACTATGTAGCCATAAAAAAGGAAGAGTTCTTGTCCTTTGCAGACCTGAGATGAGCCCTGTCAAGAGAGGCCATTTGATGGAAGCTTCTTCAACTTGCATTCTTTCATTTGTAGGTAATATGTTGTTTCTCCTAAGTGGTTCTCCAGATGTGCAACAGAGAAGATAATCACAGCTCTTGTAGAGGGAAAAGGGCTGTGATTCTGCCATCTTGGTGGGAATTCTGAGAAGTTGAGAACGGAGGGTGGAGCCAATTGCTGAGAAAAACATTCCCAGAAGAAATGAAATTAGGCATCTGACTGGTTTCAGCAATGATGTAAACCAATGACTGTTGTCTATTTTCTGTTTACATTATAAAATAGATACGATCATTGCATTTTTCTTATGTCTGTTTCAGTATTGTGTGTTTGATTTGTTCAGGGCAGATAATTTATCCCTTTAGGGAACATGTTGAGAGAAAGTGCACCTGATAATTTGTTCTCACCTCATAAACACCAGGTCCCGATTTAAATAATAAAATATTGAACTTCACTCTGAGCCTGTTCTTGTATTGTATTGGTTTCTGTGGTTTTTCAGAAGGTAAGTATTTTGGGGATGTGGTAAGTGTATGAGCCAGTGGGGGCTAAGTGGAAATAATTTCCACAAATGGCCCAACGATGATGACAAGTCAAAACAACCACAGCTTGTAGCGTTTCCTCTCCTTAATTTGGGCTTTCTGCATGACACCTTGGTCAATATAATGTCATAGAAGTTACACTGTCTGTCTTTCAAAGCTAAGGCCTACAATGCCTTGCACCTTCTTCATGAGACTTTTGGAAGCTTTTCATTGGTGGAAGCCAATCATTGATTCTGATTTCAGGAATTCCAGGAATTCAAGGCACTAATGTGGAGATAAGATAGGGAAGGAAACAAACAACCAGTCACCAGGTGTTCAGCCACCCTAATGCTGAGTTGGGCATGAGTGAAGCATTTTCTGAAATCTCTGACTATAGACCTTTCTAAAATCGAGACACTCACTGCATAATCTGTCACCTACATGAGTCCACTAAACCTTCAAAACTCAGAGAAATCAGAATAAATGATTGATTTAAGCCAACATGTGTGGGGAGGTTGCCTGTGCTGCAATGCCAACAGTAACAGCAGCAAAGCAGAATCTGTTCACAGTGCCCATGTGTGTGAACTGTGTTCATTCCACCAATAAACCACTTATTTTCTGATCTTAAACCATGACCATTTGTTTACAAAGAGAAATCTCAGGATTCTGCCCACATAAAATGGAAAAATCAGAAAATTATTTTGAAAAAAAAAGGATTCTTAAAAGGAAACCATTGAACTGTGATTCTCTAACTATTGCTTGGATTGAAAATTTAGATGTAAACATTCTCAAATTTTTCTTCCAATTCCTCCAGTGCATCCCACACAATTCCAGGCAGTTTCAAGACACAAGAAACATTCTTAGGATGAGCGAAGAATTAAGATATTTCACCTGACTTTCCTCAAATTACAAAGTCTCTCCCCAAAGCCTGTGTGGTTGTAAACAGATCCCTACCATTTCACTGCAATGAGTCATCTAAAATGAAAGAAGAATTTTAGTTCAGAGTGTTTGACGTAAAGTATGGGCTATAGAGAATGTTGTTTGTTTTGTCATCTCAGACATTCCAGTGGTGCTGTGACTCACTGCCTGTTTCACTTGTGTGTCTGTGCCACTTTGTCTTTTTCCCCAGTAGAGTGAGAACCAGATCCTGGATAATTTAGTGAAGTTTTATTGACCATGTGTAGAGGAAGGCGTGAGGAGAGATCATTCTCTTAGCAGGCTCTGGGATACCACAGTCATAGAGAAATGGGGAGTTTCTGTTGCTCCTCAGCAACACGGAGTGTGGACATCACCGTCAATCACAGACACACATTGAGGTCAGGGAGACATCCCACCACACTTGCACATCTTCACGTAACATGATGGGAGTTGATGGGCAAAACTGTAACACTGTCATTGACCATTACCTGCAAGAGGAAAAATGCATCAGAAATACAGCATGCAACAAAACAAACTATCAGTCTTAACTCCCCTCAGCCCTAGTGCCTATAGCAACCAACCAGAAAACTCCCAATTATACATCAGAAACCAGTAGACATACTTCTATCTACAGACTACCTTTGTGCCTATTTCAGACAGTTGTTCATTTTATTTCCCATGTTTCCTCTCATTACTCCAGGGAAGTTCTACCACTCTGTGTCACACAGTTCCTGTTTGCTCAACCTCTTCTCTAGCCTGGAATATGCCAGACTCTGTGTCATGAATTTGAATCCCTGCGTCTTCTACAGGGGTTCACACAGGGTTCGTGATCAACAATGTTCATTGAATGTATACTTTTCAGTTATACAGACTAGGACTGCCATTCACCACTGATGGCCCACTTTCTCTTGGGAGTTGCCCGGGACTGCCAAGTGGTTAGCAAGGAATGAAATCCAAGTGTTTTTAGAGAGAAAGAACAGAATAGGTATTGCAAGACATAGTATATTATTTTGAACAACTCATAGGCATATTAAAGGATTACTCACTTAAATCTGAACAAAATGTTAATCTTTGGGTTTACCCATTTGAAAATGTCAGGAAGGTTGGAAATATTATTTATTACTAAAGCTATAAAACAGTCAATTTTTAGGTGTTAATTTACAATATTTAAAATGCACACAATTCTGATCCAGTTATTTCATTTCTTTGTAATTATTCTTTAATACAACTACTGGGAGTTTGATAACAAAAAAGATTGATTAGAAAGCTTAATACAGCATTATTAGTGAGAGCAAAATACTGGAAACAGTCTAAATGTCCATCAAAGGAGTAAAGTTCAATAATTTTTGGTAACCATTCTACAGGAATATTGTGCAGTGTTTAAAAACTGAGGCAGCACCATAAATAGATGACTTTGCAAAATATAGTGTTTGACAAGCAGTCCACCCCAGTTCCTAAAGTACATTTTTTCAGAAAGAAATGAAAACATAAATCTATATATTTCTGTAAGCAGATTATCTCCACAATTTGAGTAGAGAAGCCAGTAATATTATTGTACTAGGGAGTAAAACTGGGGCTCAATCCTGAGAGAAAGACTAAATTTTTGGCTCACTGAAACTATTTTATTTACATGTGTATTTTCTCCATTTTGGATAAATGAAAATATAAGTACATCATCACTAGAAATGAGCACTATGGGAAAAGACAGAGGAGATTCTTCACTTTGGGGGAAATGACAAGTGAAATGACCTTGACCCTGGTCAAATTTGGGAAAAGAGCTGAGGATGGCTGTGCAAGCAGAGGGTGCTTTGTGATGAAAAGTCTGGGCCAGGGGCACTTACGAGAGATGGGCCCCAAGAGACTCTTGGGGCCAGCTTACGGAGAGCTGCCTCCTGCTCTGGGATCCCAGTGAGGCCAAACACTGAAAGCCCCTGGGACACTCACCTGGTACTCATTGTCCAGCACTGAGATGTGCAGGTCAAATTGTTTGCCATCCTTAAAGGGCATACCCTCAGATTTTCTGTAATGCTTCCAGGCTCCACACACATGCTGTTCATGACCACTCAATTCCCAAAGTATACTCCAAAATGGAAGGCAATGTCTGACTTCTTATCTGTCCCAGTGTGGAAATCAACCTGCAGCTGTGGGTCATTGTGGAGGTCAAAGCACGCAGCATGTTGGGCAGGTCCCTCCCGTGTAGTGCACACACAGGACACACACACAAATCTCTTCCCACCTTTCCCAGGACAGACAGAAGCCTTCCTGGTGATACTGCAGGCCTCATCCCTGTGGGGCTGCTTCAGCTTCTTGTTCCCCCATGCAGGGATATGCTCTGCCCCTCATCCCCAGATGGAAACTGAGCCACAGTCACTGACCTGAGGTTATGAGCTGTCTATTCTCTGAAAATTCTATGCTCTTTGACAGAAGTGTCAGTGGCAGGTAGAGATCCTCTTGGAAATTTTGGCAGGCTCCTACAGGACAGTCATAGCACAGATCTGGAAAATGTGGAGCAAAGACATGTCATCCTTTGTGGATAACTTCTCTCCATTTGAGAAAAAGCATTTGCCTTGCTACTGTGCCTTAGCAGAGAGTGAATACTTAACCATGGCCTCCAGTTTTCTGTGAATCCTGGCTGTCTGTCAAGAAGCAGGTCTGACCCAACATATTTGTTCCTGCAAAAGACATGATCTCATGATTTTTATAGCTGCATAGTATTCCATGGTGTATATGTACCACATTTTCCTTTATTCAGTCTACCATTGATGGGCATTTAGATTGATACCATGTCTTTGCTATTGTGAATCGTGCTGCAACAAACATACATGTGCATGTGTCTTTATGGTAGAACAATTTATATTCCTTTGGGTATATACCTAGTAATGGGATTGCTGGGTCAATTGGTAGTTCTGTTTTTAGGTCTTTGAGGAATTGTCACACTGTGTTCCACAATGATTGAATTAATTTACACTCCCACCATAGTGAATATGCATTCCTTTTTCTCTGCAACATTGCCAGCATCTATTACTTTTTGACATTTTAATAATAGCCATTCTGACTGATATGTGATTGTATCTCACTGTTGTTTTGACTAATAATCAGAAATGTTGAGCTTTTCCACGTTTGTTGGCCACATGTGTATCTTCTTTTGGGAAGTGTCTGTTCATATCTCCTGCCCACTTTTTAATGAAATTGTTTGGTTTTTTCCCTTGTATATTTCTTAAGTTCCTTATAGATGCGGAATGTTAGCCTTTTGTCTGATGCATAGTTTGCAAAAATGTTCTCCCATTCTGTAGGTTGCCTGTTTACCCTGTTGATAGTTTTCCTTTGCTATGCAGAAGCTCTTTAGTTTAATTAGATCCCATTTGTCAATTTTTGCTTTTGGTGCAACAGCTTGTATCATCTGCATCATGAATTCCTTCCCCATTCCTATATCCAGAATGGCATTGCCTAGGTTATCTTCTAGGGTTTTATAGTTTAGGGTAATACATTTCAGTCTCTGATCCATCCTAAGTTGATTTTTGTGAATGGTATAAGGAAGGGATCCAGTTTCAATCTTCTGCATATGGTTAAACAGTTATCGCAGAACCTTTCATTGAATTCATTGAAGGGAGTCCTTTCCCCATTACCTGTTTTTGTCAGCTTTGTAGAAGAACAGATTGTTGCAGGTTTGTGGCCTTCTTTGTGGTCTCTCTGTTCCGTATGTGTTTGTTTTTCTACAAATACTATGCTGTTTTAGTTACTGTAGCCTCATAGTATAATTTGAAGTCAAGTAGCATGATGTCTCCAGTTTTTTTCTTTTTGCTTAGGATTGCCTTGATCATTTGGGCTTTTTGTTTGTTCCACATGAATTTTTAAATAGTTTTACATAACTCTTTGAATAATGTCATTGGCAATTTTACAGGAATCACTTTGGATCTACAAATTGCTTTGGGAATTATGGCCCTTTTAATGATATTGGTTCTTCCTATCCATGAGCATGGAATTTTTTTTATTTGTTTGTTTCACCTCAGATTTCTTTGAGCAGTGTTTTCTTTTTTTTTTTAATTTTGCCTTGAAGAATCTGGCAAATGGTATTTTACAAAGATGGTCATAATGACATATCTTATCCTACGTGCTCTTCTCCACTGTGATCTTTTTTAAATATATTTTTTTATTTCCATAGGTTTTTGGGGAACAGGTGGTATGTGGTTCCCTGAGTAACTCTCTTAATGGAGATTTGTGAGATATGGGGTGACCCATCATCCGAGCAGTACACACTGACCCAATTTGTAGCCTTTTATCTCTTACCCCCTTCCCACTCTTTTTCCCCCAAGTCCCCAGAGCCTATTGTATCATTCTTATGCCTTTGCATTCTCATCACTTAGCTCCCACTTATGAGTGAGAACATATGATGTTTCATTTTGCATTAATGAGTTACTTCACTTAGAATAATGGTCTCCAATCCCATCCAGGTTGCTGTTAATGCCATTAACTCATTCCTTTTTATGGCTGAGTAGTATTTCATTATATGATGGTTATTTGGGCTGGTTTCACACATTTGCAATTGTGAATTATGCTGCTATAAACATGCGGGTGCAAGTATCGTTTTTGTATAATTACTTCTTTTCCTCCAGGTAGATACCAAGTAGTGAGATTGCTGGATCAAATGGTAGTTCCACTTTTAGCTCTTTAAGGCATCCCACATTGCTTTCTATAGTGGTTGTACTAGTTTACATTCCCACCAGTTGTGTAAAAATTTCCTCTTTTAACCTCATCCCCTCCAATATCTATTATTTTGATTTTTTATTACGGCCATTCTTGCATGAGTAAGGTGGTATCGCATTGTGCTTTTGATTTACATTTCCCTGATCATTAGTGATGTTGAGCATTGTTTCATATGTTTGTTGCTCATTTGCATATCTTCTTTTGAGAATTGTTTTTTCATGTCCTTAGCCTCCTTTTCGATGGGATTATTTGGTTTTTTTTCCTTGCTGGTTTGTATAAATTAATTGTAGATTATTGATATTAGTCCTTTGTTAGATGTACAGATTGTGAATGTTTTCTCCCACTCTGTGGGTTGTCTGTTTACTCTGTTGACTGTTCCTTTTGCCATACAAAATCTCCTTAGTTTAATTAAGTCCCTCCTATTTATCTGTGTTTTTATTGCATTGGCTTTCGGGTTCTTGGTCATAAAATCTTTCCTTAAGCCAATGTCTAGAAGGGTTTTTCCGATGTTATCTTCTAGAATTTTTATAGTTTCAGGTCTTAGATCTCAGTTCTTAGATTTCAGTTCTTAATCCATCTTCAGTTGGTTTTTGTATAAGGTGAAAGATGAGGATCCAGTTTCGTTCTCTTACATTACATGTGGTTTGCCAATTATCCCAGCACCATTTGTTAAATAGGGTGTCCTTTCTCCACTTTGTGCTTTCATTTCCTTTGTCAAAGATCAGTTGGTTGTAAATATTTGGGTTTATTTTTGGGTTTTCTATTCTGTTCCATTGGTCTATGTGCCTATTTTTATACCAGTACTGTGCTGTTTTGATGACTATGGCCTTATAGTATAGTTTATAATCAGGAAATGTGATGCTTCCAGATTTATTCTTTTTGCTTAGCCTTGCTTTGACTATGCAGGTTCTTTTTTGGTGCCAAATAAATTTTAGAATTCTTTTTTCTAGTTCTGTGAATAATGATGATGGTATTTTGATGGGAATTGCATTGAATTTATAGATTGTTTTTGGCAGTATGGTCATTTTCACAATATTGATTCTACCCATTCATGAACATGAAATGTTTTTCCATTTTTTTGTGTCATCTCTGATTTCTTTGAGCACTGTTTTGTAATTCTCATTGTACAGATATTTCACCTCCTTAGATGGCTGTATTTCTAGGTATTCTATTCTTCTTGTGGCAATCATGAATATGATTGTGTTACTGATTTGGCTCCCATCTTAGCTGTTGTAAGAAAGAATGATAGAGATTTTTGTATGTTGATTTTGTATCCTGGATTTCCCTAAAGTTGTTTGTCAGCTTAAGGGCCTTTTCAGCTGAGACTATGGGGTTTTCTAGATACAGAATCATGTTGCCTGCAAACAAGGATAGTTTGACTTATTTTCTTCCTCTTTGGATGCCCTTTTTTCTTACTCTTATCTAATTGCCCTGGCCAGTACCTTCGATAATATGTTAAATAAAAGTGGTGAGAGACAGCATCTTTGTCTTGTGCCAGTTTAGAGGGGAATGCTTCGAGCTTTGCCCATTCACTCTGATGTTGGCTGTGGGTTTGTCATAGGTGACTCTTACTATTTTGAGGTATATCCCTTCAATACTCAGTTGACTGAGGTTTTTAACATGAAAAGGTGTTGAATTCTACTGAAAGACTTTTTTGCATCTATTAAGATAATCATGTGGTTTCTGTCTTTTGCTCTGTTTATGTGACGAATCAAGTTTATTGACTGGCATATGTTGAACCAACCTTGCATGCCAGGGGTACAGCCTACTTGATCATGGTGGGTAAGCTTTTTTCATGTGCTGCTGGATTCAGTTTGCCAGTATTTCATTGAGGATATTTTTATTGATCTTCCTCGAGGATATTTGCCTGAAATTTGTTGTTGTTGTTGTGTCTTGCCAGGTTTTGATATCAAGATAATGCTGGCCTCACAAAATGAGTTAGGCAGGTATCTCTCCTCCTCAGTTTTTTGGAATACTTTCAGTAGGAATGATACTAGCTCTTCTTTGTACACTTGGTAGAATTCAGCTGTGAATCCATCTGGTCCTGGGCCTTTTTTGGGTGGCAGACTTATTACTGATTCAATTTTGGAGCTCATTGTTGGTCTCTTCAGGGATTCAGTTTCTTCCTGGTTCAGTATTGGTCAGGTGTATGTATCTAAGAATGTATCCATTTTCTGTAGATTTTTTTAGTTTGTATGCATAGAACTGTTTATAATCTACCTGATGGGTGTTTATATTTTTGTAGCATTTGTGGTACTATCCCCTTTGTTGTTTCCAGTTGTGTTTATTTGAATCTTCTCTCTTTTCTTGTTTATTAGTCTGGCAAGCAGTTTATTTTGTCACTTTGAAAAAAAATGAACTGTTGGATTCATTCTACTTTGACTGTTTTCATTTCTCAGTCTCCTTCAGTTTAGCTCTGATTTGTGATATTTCTTGTCTTCTAAATTTGAGGTTGGCATGCTCTTGGTTCTCGACTCTTTTTTAACTTCAAAATTAATTTTTTCAAAATCATCACATGGTAAGCATTCTCTAGTTCTTTTAGGTGTGATGTTATGTTGCTAAGTTGAAATCCTTGTAACTTTTTCATGTGGGCATATAGTCTTATAAATAATCCTTTTAATACTGCCCTAGCTGTGTCCCAGAGATTTTGGTATGTTGTATTATTTTTCTCATTAGTTTCATTGTTCTCATTAGTTTCAAAAAAAACTTCTCAATTTCTGACTTAATATCATCATTTACCCGAAAGTCATCTAGTAGCAGGGCTATTCCATTTCCATCATTTCCATGTCTT